CTTGCAGGAAAACACTGGCATAAAGCAAAGCTAACAGACATTTTGATAATGGCTCACCTTATTAATGGCTAAGATTTAATTATGTGTTTCTACTGAAAATCAAACTTGAAAAGGGCATTTGGTTACTAACTGTGGGAACTGAATAATTTTTAACTTTTTTGTTTTTTGTTTTATGAGGTAGAGTCTCATTCTGTTGCTTAGGCTGGAGTGCAGTGGCGTGATCTTGGCTCACTGCAGCCTCTACCTCCGGGGTTTAAGCAATTCTCCTGTCTCAGCATCCCGAGTAGCTGGGATTATAGGTACCAGCCACCATACCTGGCTAATTTTTGTATTTTTAGTAGAAGCGGGGTTTCGCCATGTGAGCTATGCTGGTCTCAAACTCCTGACCTCAAGTGGTCTACCTGCTTTGGCCTCCTACAGTGCTGGTATTACAGGCATAAATCACTGCACCCGGCCTATTTTTAATATTTTGAAACAACTTATTTACTATTAAAAATGTAGTTCTTGTTTCAAATAAGAAATTTTATAGACATCCAACTAATTTTTTTCAACATATAATTTTAAAACATTTTTGTCCACATGTTTTTCAAGAGCATGGGAAATCTAGGGTATGGCATTTTAAAGTGACTTTAAAAACAATTCTTGGGTTTTGTTGAGGTCAAAATATTTTTTAAAATACAATGAGTTTGATTTACTGTTGACAGTTTTTCTCCATTTAATTTTTTTTTCGTATTGTTTTAATTAGTCATGCCTTAAAAAATCCTCAGGGTTTCTGGGAAACTCTTTAGATTTAGGGGTTAAAAACTTAGTTGTTGACATTGAAATTTTTCTCTAGTATTTGTAAGAACTCAGGTGTTTAAGGAATGGAGTTTACTTTTTTTCTCTTCACAAGCGCATTGTAAAAGATATAATGAATGTAGATGAAGGTGACATCTGAGATAAGAAGAGAGGTATTTTTTTTTTCTTCACTCAAGGAAAGCCATTGAATATCAAATGGGTCATGTTGTAATTTAATTGGGTGTAAATTGTAACTTTTTAAATCATTTGCCTACTTAGTGTATATCTCTAGTTTTTATGTAATTCATCTCTCATGATATTTCAGTTTACACTGAAGTAAATGAGCAAACAAGAATAAGTCTTGTAAACAGAAGTAGAAAGTGCAGTCAGGATGCATTGCTGAAATTATAAAACTGATCCTAAATTGAGTTAGGTAGGACAGCTAGTTTGGATTATAAGAAATGCAACAGAAAAAAATTTGTCCAGTTCTTCCTCTCTTTTTGGGGAAAAAAAGGAAGAAAAGCCAAATAAATCACCCTTAGTTAGAGATAATTCCTTGACATCTGTATGCTGATTTTTAGGGCCAAAAAATAGTGGGTTTCTCTTTGGAAACTGTAGAAGCTTTCTCTCCTTCCAGTTACACGTGGTCACATCAACATTTGACACGTGGGTACCATGCACGTGGCAGTGCTATTTACAAACACCATCCTAGGATTCCAGAGGCTGATGTAACACTGGAGAGAGTAAGCTTTGAGTGTCTGTGGGCGGAGGAATCAACACAGCTTAATTCACTGTCAGGGAGCCCTTTTCCTTGTCTGGCTCTGATGGGGTCATGAACCAAAGATCAAGGTGCTCAGGTCAGGATCTTCCCTAATGTACAGTTTTTCTACCGAAGCCTCAAAAGCTGTGCCTAAATACAAGATTAATCTTTCTATGCCTTGCAGCAAACGGAGCTAGTCATGCCAAATGATTTTTGTGATTTGGGGAAACGTGAGCAGATGATGCTTTGGGTCTGATTATAATTCACAGTGCATGTCCTTTAAGTCAGGTTTGCATACCTGCCTCCCAGCCTCACGAAATGCCTTTTAAAAAGTACATCTTGGCTGGGCGCGGTGGCTCAAGCCTGTAATCCCAGCACTTTGGGAGGCCGAGGCCGGTGGATCACGAGGCCAAGAGATCGAGACCATCCTGGTCAACGTGGTGAAACCCCGTCTCTACTAAAAATACAAAAAATTAGCTGGGCATGGTAGTGCGTGCCTGTAATCCCAGCTACTCAGGAGGCTGAGGCAGGAGAATTGCCTGAACCCAGGAGGCGGAGGTTGCGGTGAGCCGAGATCGCCCCATTGCACTCCAGCCTGGGTAACATGAGTGAAACTCCGTCTCAAAAAAAAAAAAAAAAAAAAAGTACATCTTGATATTTGTGAGCATCTTAAAAAGCAAGAAAATTCATGATTAAATTCCCAAGCTAGACAATCTGACCAGAAAACACTCAAAAAAACTCTTGGTTGATCCTGCTCTTTAGTATCTTATTATAGTTACCTCTCCTTTTTCCCCAACCTCTGTAAATTCTCTCTACCCTCCTTCATTTTTAATTTCATATCAAGACCTAGAGCTAAAACAGCCACAAAGCTTTAAGTCTCTACATTTAGAGAGTGTTTCTCCTATCCCAGAATGATTTTTAGAGATTTTCATTTATTTTTATCAATACCAAACAAGTTGAAATTAAAAAAAAAAAAAAGGGCACCAAGAATTTAAATGTCTAACCCTGTATATCTGATATATGTGTACTGGTGCTGTTCACCAGTACACATATACCAGTGTGCTTAGCTGTAAGCACACTGGCCTGAATATTTAAAATATGAATAAAATTTGAGTTCTTTTTATGTTGCATCTAAGGATCATTTGAGATGGATGTCATCATTGGTCGTCCAAAATGGAAGCTTTCTTGCCTAACAAAGAATTGTAATTAGATTATCAAAGATGAAATTTATAGTTAATTGAAAAGTTAGCTCATTTGACTGCCTCTTTCATAGAATTTGTTTTTGTGATTACACTACCTTTCTAAAAATGGGAAAAATAAACGTGTTTCAAATGTGATACTATAAATGAATTTTTTTTTTTTTTTTAAATAAAGGATCTTTTCCCAAGGGCTAACCAAGCACCAAATCTGTTTTTCTTTTTACTTTTTTTTTTTTTGAGACGAGTTTCGTTCTGTTGCCCAGGCTGGAGTGCAGGGGCTCAATCTCAGCTCACTGCAACCTCTACCTCCCGGGTTCAAGCAATTCACTGCCTCAGCCTTCCAAATAGCTGGAATTACAGGCACCCACCACCACACCCATCTAATATTTGTATTTTTAGTAGAGACAGGGTTTCACTATTTTGGCCGGGCTAGTCTTGAACTCCTGACCTTGTGATCTACCTGACTTGACCTCCCAAAGTGCTGGGATTACAGGTGTTTTTCTTTAATATTTGGTATAAGAAAACTTTATATCTGGAATAACTTAAATATTATCTGACCAAACCTATTATTTACATATAGAAACTCAGGTTCTAGCCATTTAACATCTAAAGCTGTTCTTATTTAGAGGAAATTTTTACCAAAAAAGTGACTCATTCAGCCATCAATAAAATCTAAGGATAGATGTGTTTTCATTCTGTTGCAGAGCAAAAATACCTTCTGAATATGAATAGATATTACTTCTTTAGTGTTTATCACATATAATTTATAGTACATTTCTGATACATTGAATTAAGATATGGTGAGAGTAGGTGGTAGATTTTTAAAGGTTCTTACTTGCTTGCTTTTTATACTGTTGGACTAGGAATGATGTATTTATCTCAATCGCCCTGGGCCCAAATAGCAAAAGCTTGGGTGAAATTACTTACAAGTGTACTTTTCCTGCACAGAGCAGAGCCATAACTGAAAACTATTGAACTTTAACAAAAATCATTTTATCTTATGTTAGAACATTAATTCTTTCCTCCTTCTCAGACCTTTGTTTCATAGTAAATCACATATGGATATAAGCTGCAAGTGCTCAGAATTTGATTAAGGCTACAAGTTAATGCATTTCTGCTAAAAAAGGGATTTAAATGTAACTTTGATTTGACTATACTGTAGTTTCACTTGAAGGGGCAAGCATGCAATAAACATTGACTTATTCAAGGCATAGGCTATTTTCATAAAGATGAGAGTGAGTGACAGTTGTCTCTGTATTATAAGATATCAAAATGGTAAATTGAATATGATGCATACCAAGGAACAATGTGGAAATTTTAGGCTGTTCATCTTTTCTTCAATTACTACTAAGTGTGTATATGTGGTGTGTATGTGTTTTGAACTTTTCATATTTAAGCTAAATCCTCTTTGGTAGAAATCATCAATTAAACAGACTATAGTAAAAGTGTCTATAAATATAGAATGAAAAAATACTGATGTCATGCATTTTCCCTAATATCTTGAAGGTGCACAAAATCTTCGAGGCCTTTTGTATAAACTACTTTTATGTGGTTCCTGTAGAAGACAGCTGAGGCACCAAACACACACACAAAACAAACAGCTTGCTTGGTGATGTTGACATTCGTGCCAGTGTGTTCTCTCTTACATAGGAGTCCCAGGTTACCCTGATGCCTTCCCACATGGTCAAACACATGGAGCTTTCATGTTTACACACAGCTCCAGAATTCTGAAGACTACGGTTGTTTAACTGTGAGATACAGGGAAAAGGAGTGGTGTCTCTCTCACTAGCTGTTCTGTATCATGAATATTGATAAGCATTGGCCTTAGTAAAACCTGACTGGAGGAGAAACATGGTAGATGCCTAAAGAAGCCTCCCCTGGCTGACATTGTTTATTTTCAACTATCATTACCACCTGAAAGGAGCTTTTCACTTTGAACTTAAAATAGTAGCTTTTAACCCTGACTAGCGAGCAAGTAATCGAGTAAGCTCTTTAGTATTAAAGAGTGAAGGTGACAAGCCCTGAGGAGTGTTACTCTCTTTCATAACCAAGCTGACTCAGACTCTAGTAGAAGCTAATAAAGTAACTTAACCATCTCTAAAAATGTTGCTGCATATCTTCATAGAAACATAGAGTTGGAGTGAGAGCCGCATTTTCTTGTTTTTAAGATCAGGAGACTACAAATTTTTCAGTGAAGAATAAATTTTCTATCACAAATTATGAAGATTTTTTAAATTTTATTTTTATTTCTTTTTTTTCTTTTTCTCTGTCAGAATTTTTAGTTCATGCCTGTATCATTCAACAGTTGAACAGTTAAATTCATTGTCTGAAGAACATTTTAAAGATCTATTTCAAACTCTTTTTCCTACTTGTAATGAATTATTACTTTTTTATCTACCTTTTTTGAACTTTTCATCTTTTTCCCTGAATTATAGATTTAATTCTGTGTAAGTATATGTGTGTTTGAATATATTTTTATATTTTAGATCCAGATTTGTATACTAGAGCTGTTTCTAACCACTTACAAGACATTGCCACCTGGATTCCCACTACCTTCATTTCAGTATTTCAGTAAATAATTAATCAAAAACATAGTTTATTTTCAAACATGGAATCATGGATTGTTACCAGCTGAAAGGACTTTAGAGACTCACTAACCCTATTCCTTGCATTTACAGATGAGAAAATGTAGGCATGGGAAGGTAAAGTCAATTGCCTCAAATAGCATAACAAGCTATGTATATTTCTAATAATAGCTACTATTTATTAAGTTTCTGTGTTGGGTTAAACACCATGCCAAGTGCTTTCCAGAGATTATCTAATTTTTACATCATCTATATTTTTGTTGGTGCTATTACTCTCCCCACTTTACTAAGGAAGAAACCAAAACATGGGGTTGAATAACTTCTCCATAAATTTTCAGTTGTCTTTGGCATCTCCCTATTTGCAAATCTCCGTTGTCCCTTTGTTCCTAATAGATATAAATCAACTGTTAAACAGTTGGATGCCATCAACCAGTCTAGTGTTTGGAGCTGGGAAGGTTCAATTGTGTGTGTGTGTGTGTGTGCACGCGCGCGTGCGAGTGCCAGCTTTATTGAAGTATAATTGACAAGTAGACAGTTGACAAAACTGTACATATTTAGGGATAGAGTGTGATATTTTAATATACATCACATTGTGAAGTGATTATCACAATGAAGCTGATTCACGTCTGTCACCTCTCAGTCATTTTTTATGTTTATGGTGAGAACACTTAAGAGCTACTCAAATGTAGTCAAGAATACCATACAGTACTAACTGTAGTTGCCATGTCGTACATTAGATTTCCAGAATGTATTAAATATTCATCTTGCATAATGGAAACTGTGTACCCTTTGACCAAGCTATTTCCTCTACTACCCAGCCAATGGCAAACACCCTGTTACTCTCTGCTTTTGTGAGTTTTACTTCTTTATATTCCACATATAAGTGAGATCATGCAGTAGGAAGATTTAGTTTAGAGTCCTGACTTTCCTTTTTATTAGCTGCATATGTCATATTCAGGTTGCTTTAGCATTTGTGAATCTGCTTCTCCACCTGTAAAGTGAGAACAGCTAATAATTCTTATTTCATGAATTACTGAGAGGATCGAATGAAGTATAATCATAATTAAAGCATCCAGCATGTTACTTGGCAAAATTGTAGTGATTGAATGAATATTTGTTTATTCCTCAAGTATGTTTTGAGCATCTATGTATCAGGCAAGAAGAGAGCCATCATCTTTACCCTTCTGGAGTATACAGGCTCATAGGAAATAGTCAATACTCTGATATATATATGTCAGAGTATATATATACATACATATATATATATATATACACACACATATATATATATATATACATACATATATATATATATGTATATATATATATATATACATATATATATATATATTCCAGAAGGGTAAAGATTGTTGATGAATATCAGAGTATTGATATATATATATATATATATGTATATTATGTATATTATTTTTTAGACAGAGTTTCACCCAGGCTGGAATGCAGTGGCATCTTGGCTCACTGCAACCTCTGCCTCCCGGGTTCAATTTATTCTCCCACCTCAGCCTCCCAAGCAGCTGGGATTATAGGCATGCGCCACCATGCCCAGCTAATTTTTGTATTTTTAGTACAGACAAGGTTTCACCATGTTGGCCAGAATATTCTCGATTTCTTGACCTCATGATCCATCTGCCTCAGCCACTCTGATCTTCTTTTAAAGCATAATGGGATTATAGGACTCATAGACTGGCCAGTTAAGGAATTTCCCAGGATGTTTTCAGCATCTGCTCAAAAGGTGCGATTTCCCAACTGCCTGAATGGTCCTAGGTGCTAGAGTTGGCATGGCTTTCTCAGTTTTGGGACCAGACAGGGGGACTGTGCAAGTGTAACGTCACAGCCTCTGAAGATTGGCTCAAGGGGGAAGAGATGAAGGATTATTTCCATCCTTTTTATTGTTCTAATCAGGATATAAATTATGAGCTCATAGTACCATCCTTTCACTATCACCCTTAATTGTATTTATTAGATACAATGAAAGGATATGTTTTGTCCATAGAAATATTAAATGATAGCATGCCTGATTTCAAAAGTACTAAAGACTGTAAATATTACTAGTTTTTCCCCTACTTCCTATCATATTTTTAGAAGAAGAAACAACACTTTGGCATACCTTGCTTAAAGATAAGTTGATATTTGGCTGGGCACGGTGGCTCACACCTATAATCCTCATCTGAGATAAGGAGTTTGAAACCAGCCTGGCCAACATAGTGAAACTGCATCTTTGCTAAAAAATACAAAAATTAGCTGGGCATGGTGGCAGGTGCCTATAATCCCAGCTACTCGGGAGGCTGAGGCACAAGAATGCTTGAACCTGGGCGGCAGGTGGCAGTGATCTGAGATCACGCCATTGCACTCCAGCCTGGGTGACAGAGGGAGACTCTATTTCAAATAAATAAATAAATAAGATAGATAATAGTCTTGGTATGCTAATCAGGGGCTACCTGTGAGACTGGAAATTCCTTACATGGCAGTGTCATGGAATTTTGGGCCCATGTGAAACATGTTTTTGACTGTTTTAACTTAAAATAGTTAACAGTTTAAAAATACATTATTTATGTGTCAGAAACTGTTTGCTTTCATTGAGATTGAAGTTTCTTTGAGAACTAGGATCACATCTTGTATGTCTGTTGAATTTCCCACAATAATTATTGTGCAACCAAATTAATAGCAGACCCTCAATAACACTTACTGATTATTGCCATGTATAAGTTGGGATACTCTTGAGTACCTTTCTAAGTCTTCACTTAGGGAAATACAGAACACAAAATGAAATGTTTGATTGGTTGCTTAGTTTCCACAGTGACTTTTCAAAATACATAGGAATATGGGAACAAAAAAATAAAAGTCACTGTAACACCAAGCAGTGTGACTGAACATGTAGAAAAGGAAAAAGTGATCCTGTGACACCAAAATTAGTTTTTTCTAAGGGTGATACTTTAAGCATTAGGATTCTTTTTTGCTAAATTCTTTCAGTTTCTCAAAATTATTCCATGTTTTTATTTCTTTCCGTTTGGACTTAGGTTTTTCTGTAAGCATTCAATTTTTATTAAAAATTTTAATTGTATTTTTTGGTTCTTGTTGATGAATGAAATACACTTTCTTCTTGAAGTCTGATTTTTCTGTTCTAATTTAGTTTCTTCTTATTTTTCTCCTGGCTATATCCATTATTCCTTCAGTCTCATGTCTTTGTCTGTATTTGATTATTATTTTTCTTTGTACTACTGTTTTTATAGGAAAAAAGGAAAAAACAGGGGTTTCTACAAATGTTATGCTGAGTCCTTACATGTCCAAAATGCCTTACATTTTTCCTCATAGTACATTAATAAATTACTGGGATTAGAAATGTAAGTTCAAAGTAATTTACTCTCAGAACTTGGGAAATATTGGTACGTTGTTACCTTTTATGTGGTATTGCTTATGAGATATCTGATGCCAATCCGATTCTTTTTTAAATAGCTTTTTTCCCTATTCAAACGTTTATTAGGCTATTTATCTCCTCAGTTCTGAAATTCCTCCAGATATGGCTCTGTTAACGTGTATTCTTCTCAGCACTTGATGATTCTGTACAATCTGGAAACAAGCACCTTTATTCAGCTTAAGGTACTTTTTTTCCATTGTACCTTTGATTATTTCTTCCTTCATTTTCTCCCCCTATCTTTATGGAATTCGTGTTAATGGCACATTAGAACTTGTGAATGGATTTTTCTTATTTATTAAACTCCCTCATGTATTTTTCATCTGTTTTTCTCTGTATATTTTATTTTCTCAACTTTTGATATTTTTGTTACTTGAAATTTAATTTCCAAAAAGTCAGTCTTCTGTCCTCTGATTCATTTTAATGGTAACCTATTTTGTGGCTCAAATCCTATAAAATGTATTAAATTTTGTGGAAAAATTAGGTAAACAAAGGAAATAAAATTTTACCTAACCATGTCTAAAAATACAACTAATTATAAGAAAATTGTGTGTATAGCCGGGCACAGTGGCTCACACCTATAATCCCAGCACTTTGAGAGGCCAAGGAGGGCAGACCACTTGTGGTTGGGAGTTCAAGAGCAACCCCGTCTGTACTAAAAATACAAAATTAGCCAGGTGTGGTGGCACATGCCTGTAATCCCAGCTACTCGGGAGGCTGAGGCAAGAGAATCTCTTGAACCCGGGGGTAGAGTTTGCAGTGAGCTGAGATTGCGCCATTGCACTCCAGTCTGGGCAACAAGAGTGAAACTCTGTCTTAAGACAAAAAAAAAAAAAAAAAAAGAAAATTTGTGTGTATATGTACATACATATGTGTGTATATATACATAGGTATATATACACATACATATACATATATGTATATATGAATGTACTATGTATATACACATGTATGTATATATGTGTACATACACATATATGTGTACAGGTATACTACATATACATGTATATGTAGTATGTGTATATATGTATACATATGTAGTATGTCTATGTACACATGCAGTATATGCACAAAGAAAAAATATGTATATAATAGTTTCACTGTACTTTATTCACTCCCTTTTAAAATAATCATGCGGCCAGGCATGGTGGCTCACACTTGTAATCCCAGCACTTTGGGAAGCTGAGGCAGGTGGATCACGAGATCAGGAGTTGAGACCAGCTTGGCCAACCCCTAAAAAAATTTGTAAAAATACAAAAATTAGCTGACTGTGGTGGCGAGCACCTGTCATCCTAGTTACTCAGGAGGCTGAGG